TTTAACTTTCATTCAGTATTTTTGAGGTTTACCATGTTAATCTCAAAATTCATTTTTATTACTGACTGGTATTCCACTGTGTGAATATGGTCACATGCTGCATGACGACATTGTTTGTCAACAACAGACCACACACATGACGGTGGTCACATACGATTGTCATGGAGCTGAGACATTCCTGTTGCCAGGGATGCGGAGGTCAGAACTGCTGTCCTGGGTACCAGGGAGTGCACCATTTCCTTCTGAACCAAAATGTTTCCTGAAAGCTTACTGTAATGCCTCATGCTGTCCTAGACACTGGGTGTACACTAGTGAACAAGAACAGTGGAGTCTGTCCTGTGCATTACTCAAGTGTGTGTGGTGCTGCTGTGAATAGGCCTGCACTGCCTGATGTGCAAAAGCTCAGCACATGCATTATTTGCTGTACATCATACATGATGGTGATAATAAATGACTCGCTATTGGTTTACATATTTATATATCGTTCCTTTAGAGTGTACTCCTACTTAGGAAAAAAAGTTTGTTATGAAACAGCGTGTGGTATTCCATTGGCAGGGGACTCATACAACTGGTGTTCACTGCTTCTGTTGATCGCATCATTTTCTCTTGTGCTTGATTTAATCTCGTGTTGCTTTATAAATGTGGTATAGCCTGTGTGTACAGGGTTTATGAAGTCCACTGTTGTATACAGTCATGTCCTAGCCTTCACATTCACTCACCCTCACTCACTGACTCACCCAAAGCAACTGCCAGTCCCACAAACTCCATTCATGTAAGTGCCCTGTACAGGTGGACCATTTTTCATCTTTTATACACATTTTTAGTGTACCTTTCCTGTTTAGGTATATTTACACACACAAACACCACTATGTTACAGTTGCCTACCGCATTCAGTACAGTATCAGGCTGTACAGGCCTATAGCCGAAGTTGTTCCACACAGCCCAGGTGTGCAGTGGGCTGTACCACCTAGGTGTGTGCAAGTGCACTCTGATGTTTGCACAATGATGGAATCACCTAATTCATTTCTCAGAATGTATCCCATTATTAAGTGGCCTGTGACTGTATGAGGTGTGACAATTAAGTTCGCGAACTCATCCTAGAAAAGTTCTACATACCTCATTGCTGAATATCACTACGGTCACCTTCGAAGTACTCCCCTTGGGAGCTATACACTGACACCAGTGCCTAGGCCACCCTTCAAAGCAATTTTGGAACTCTCTTTCTGGAATGGCCATCAGAGCTGTCATCATAATACCCTTGAACTCCTGAATGTCATCAAAATGTCTTCTTTTCAATATTTCCTTTATCTTCGGGTAAAGAAAGAAGTCACTGGGGGCCAGATCAGGTGATCTGGGAGGGTATTCCAACAGTTATTTGTTTACTGGCTAAAAACTCCCTCACAAACAGTGCCATTTGAGCTGGTGCATTGTTGTGATACAAGGGCCATAAATTGGCAAAAAGTTCAGCCGTCTTTAACTTTTTCAGGCAGCCTTTTCAGCACTTCCAAATAGTCAACTTGGTTAACTGTCCAGTTGGTACAAATTCATAATGAATAATCCCTCTGATATAAAAAAGGTTAGACACATTGTTGCAACAAGTTCCAGAACTTAACTGTCAGACATCATATCTTTATCTCATTTAAAAAATATTTTTTGAAGGACATAGAATTCTAGATTGGGGAATTTTCTCTTAGCACATTGATGTTGTTATCCCATTGTCTTCTGGCTTCAACTGTTTCTGTTGTGAAGTGAGCTCTCAGCTTAACAGCTGATACTTCTTTGAAGGTAATCAGCTGTCTTCTCCCTCTTTATCTCTGTTCTGTGCCTTCTGTGTGCAGATTTATTTTTTCTGATCCTGCTTGAGCTCCTTAGATTGTTGTCTTTCATAAATTCTGATTCTTAGCTATTATATTTTCATTATCTTTGCCTCATTCTCTCTCTCTTATAACCCTGATAACATATGTTAACCTGTTGTATCCTCCATGTCTCCTAACCTGTTTCATATTTCCCAATCTTTGTCTCTCTGTGTTACAGTCTGGTAATTTCTTCAGAATTATGACCAAAACGATTTGGGAAAGAACCTATATTCTAGAAATGAAAATGAATTTTTAAATTCCAACACATGGGTTTAACAGAAAATTAGAGCTAAGGAGAGACTTTTAAAACTAGAATGTAGATCAGAATGTTTGCTTCTACTGGGTAACTCAGGGGCAGGACCATTTCAGGGCTATGATAAACTAAATTCTCAGGTTAACTTTTTCTAACCAGTGTTATTTGTGCTGCAAAACTTAATGACGTTCACTGACTGGTCCAATCGGGTAAAAATTTCCCCACCTACATTCATGCTAAGGTTCAAAACAGGCAGTTTTCCTTAACCCCCTTGGTGGGATTGGAGGTAGAGCATTTTATTTTGAATTCACTGTTATGCAGAGGGAGGCTCTTTGGGATGCCAGCTTTATCAGCTGGGGTCCCCTAGTTGACCCCTCTTCTTGAGCAGGCCATGGACTTTCTATCCCCCTTGTGGACTTGAAAATGGGAATTCAGGGTCCCTGGCCTCAGGGTCAAAGCTGGCTTCAGAGCTTCCCTGGCCCCTCTGGTTTCCTGCCTTCACTTGGATTTTTAAATTTTGCATAACTTGATGGTTGACTTCAGCAGGCAAGCACTTCGTTTTTCATGCTGCCAGAAATGGACAGCGGCACAGCTCGCTTTCTTGTATTCTTGACAACACTGGTTTCTCAGCATCATTGCTGCAGATCCATACCTGAGTCCTGGAATGTTGAGGCAGGTATCTGTGGGGCTTGGGGCAGCCCTTCACCTTCCTCACAGCATCATGACTTCCTTTTGGGGGTAAAGATAGAAATTGTGTTGGCATAATCTAAGGTTACCAGCCTGTAGCTTTTTCATTTAGAAAGTAGTTTTGAATCTCCCGTCTGTGGGAATGGTTATATACTGATTAAATTTAACACTAATGTTAGAATATATTTGTATTGACCAGGACTTCAATTGTTCCTTTGAGAAGGGCACTTATAATCCTGCTTCACTTATCCCAGAAGACCCTGCTCTCTACGGGAGGGCTGGCATTCAGAGGTGCCCCCATGAGTGCCCAGCTGACACTGACTGCTTCTGAGGAGCTGGTGCTGGACTTCCTGCCCTGTCATATTACAATGACCCCATGGGGCAGGGTATCGTAATTCCATTTTAATCGTGAGCAGATGGAAGCTTACAAATGTGAACAGCTTGTCCCAGGGCAGCCAGCCGGGAACTGGAAACTGGAACTCAAATCCTCCTATGTTCTGCTTGGTCTCCCCGAGGAACGTGAGGTACATTTGACATCTAGGTGTAGTAGGTGTATATTTTACAGGTAATCTTAGTTTTATCACAGAAGTTTCTCCAGCCTTAGTAGAGATCCTTAGCTTAGCTCTGATCTGTAACAGAGATTTGTTCCTGAAACGTGTGAGACATGAACAGTAACCTTTGGTCACCATGCAGTGTTGTTAGAAGCTGCACACCGTGCTCGTGACTGACCACACAGCCATGCAAGTGGCTCCTACACAGAGAGGCAAGACTCTAGTGCAGGAGACAAGAGGTCAGCAGTGTGATGTGGAAGGAAGGGTGGGGGTGGGGCCAGGGAGAGCAGCGTGCCCTCGAAGATGTGGGGAGGGCCCCAAGAATTTGTGTGACAGTGGAATGGCACGTGCATTAGAGGAAGGGCCAGTGTAGTGTGTTGAGTTTACTGTGCCTGACAGGTAGAGGGCACCTGGGAGAGACAGGCTGTAAGGGTACGCAGGAGGCACATCCTGCAGACCCTCAGCTGCCAGGAGAGCACAGGCTTGCCAGGAGTGCAGTGGGGCCCTGAGCATCAATTCCAAACAAGCTCCTAGGGCCGCTGCTGCTGGTCTGGGCCAGCACCCTGAGCAGTGCTGCCCTGGAGGGACTACCCCGGGGGTAGGGGACAGTGCCAGCTAGCCAGAGAACGCACTATCCACTCCCAGCTCACACTCCATGTTGGAGACAGGCCAAAAGTGTGCTGCCCCTTCTCAGATGAGGTAGGCACAAACTTCCCAAATTAACTGTATCAGGAAATTAAGACTGCCATTGAATGTAAAGACCTAAAAAGTGGTGTCAGTTACCCTAAACTTACGTCCTGAGGTGGCCTCATTTGGTCCACAAACACCTGAGCACCTACTGTGTGCTGTCCACTCCATGAGGCACTGTGGAGAGGGCAGCTTTCTGTCCAATAGTGACCACTAGCTATTTAAACGTACACCCTCAGTCGGACTGGCTCAGTGCTCAGTACCTACCTGTAATTAGCAGCTATTATACTACCCAGTGCAGCTATATAATGTTCTATCACCCGGAAAGCGTTCTGTTGGGCATCAGAGATACTGAACCCACTCAAAAGGGGCTGCATGAGCTCTGAAGGAGCAGGTAAGGTTTGGTGGGCTGTGACCAGGAAACCTCATGGGCCTAGGACCCGGGCATTGTTAACAGGGTAGCAGTGGACAGGCCAGAGAAAAGCAGGAGGGAGTCCGGCTTCCGTTCTAGTCTCATTCTTTTCCTTCAATTTCACAAGCTCTCGTGTGCCTCTCAACAGACCCCCTTTTCTCTAATGCCCTCGAATGGGATTCATTATACTGGAAAGAGCCCGACCAAGAACTACATTCTGCCATGTGCTCTGCAATGTCGGCAGGTGCTGTCCAACTCCCCACCCCAGTGCCCATGGGCACCAAAGATTCTGATTAGTCCTGCAGTAAAGGTGCCTTTACAATCCTGTTTAAGTTAGGCTGCCCAAACCTACATGACCGTTTAACGCAAGCAGCTGTTGTCCTTTTGGATCTTACTTTGAGCAGAGCAGGACTGGGACACGGTCTGTGCCACTGATTTGAAAGGCCCTGTGTCCGAATGCTGTGTGGTGACAGCCGCTGCTCCTCTGGATGGCCACAGGCCCACGGCAACCCAGCCATCACCATTGTCTCACTGGCGGTGCAGAGAGCAGACACTCAGGAGTGACATGTTCTTTTATTGATGCGAGTATGTGCAGTCACGCCAACGACGGACACCCTGCTTACAGTACAGCTTTATATTCACAGTTCATCTCAAATACCAAAACATCACAGTTAGGAGTGTCCTTGGGCAAACAAAGTGGCAAACGCAGACACTGTCAGGTAGGTACTAGAAGTGAGGACCCAGTGAAGTGTACACGATGGGAAAGCTCCTTAATTCAAGTACAGAAAATGTTCTAGTATCGTATTCCAAATATATACTCTTAAGTTTTAAGCCTTTCTTTATCTCAAATACATAAACAAATTAATATGTGCTATCAATATACAGTATGTACTATCTAGGACATCTGAAAAGTGCAAAAACACTGTGACAATACAGTGTAAATATTCTTGCTTCTCCCAAGCTGAGGGCGACATCAGAGGCAGATCACAGGCCCCTCCTTCCCGAGGCCTTGCCTTCATATCTCCACCCTCTGCCAGGAGCTGTGCGAATTAGCAACTGACTGATCCGTCCTAACCAGGCCTCTGACTGGAGGCTGCTGCAGGAGCCAGGGGAACAGACACAGACATGGGTGAGTAGTTCCAAACCTGCTTGTACAAGGAAAGCCCAACGCCAGGGAGCTGGAGTCAGCGTGGATGGCCCACCTCTCTCTCGAGGGAGCAGGGCAATCACTGTCCCCAGCCAGGAAGTCAGAAAATGGAGTGTGCTCCTTGAGTTGGGAGAAGAAAACACCTCCAGCGTGGGGCAGTTGTTTGTGAGTGGCTCTAGCATACTGGCCTGGCTCAGTTTCTGTGTTTTGGATTCCATTAGGGGAGCCCCACCTAGAGGGGAGGAGGAGCTGCCCACTGGAATACTGGTGTATGAGCTGCTGCTTTTCACTTTGTACTTGGGTTTCAAAAACAGCTCTGCAGTCGTCAACCTCATGTCTGCTTTGTATGTTCTTCATTACAGCTAAGTATGTCTTCCAGTGACAGCCTGGAAAACTGACAATTCCATAACTGCCCCCCACTTTACATTATTTTAGATTTTCTCTGTTTCCTAAAATGTAGTTGAAGAAAGATTCACCAGATATATTCCAACAGAAAATATGCTGTTAGGTGTCACCCGCCCCTCCCCATTCCATAAATCCCTGATAAAGGAAAAGGAAAATGTAAACTTTGGAAAGCCCGAACTCAAAGGTTCACCTACAGAAGTATGCAAATGAGACCTACTGGCCCCACAGGCCTTGGAGCATAGGCCCTCGCTGGCCCAAGCTTCAAGGACAGGTGCCTGCAGCCCAGGGCCCAGCTTTCCTGGTGCCCCCACTGCACTGCTGGCTGCGGGCTAGAGCAGAGCAGGATACAGCCCCCCAGTACCCTCTAAGGCACGAGCCCCACATCAGAGACACTGACAGGAAGGGCGTCTGAGCAGGCAGGGCTCATGATGGTTTTGGTTGGGTTTTTAAAATATGTTTTCATAAGATGTGGACATAATCAAAAGTAGAAAATAAAAATCTACATTTCATTAGACCAAGATGTTATCATGGATACCATCTCCCATGATATTCTCCCCACCCCTCCCCAAACCAGGGCCCTGCCCTGGTATTTAAAATAAACAAAAACATTTTGTGCCAAAGGTGGATGCATGAAATAACTACCATTTTTTTTCCATAAAAGTTATATACAAATGGACCCCAACCAGTGAGGCCGCCACTTCTCAGCCACATCGAGATCAGAGCTCAGTCACATGTGTGCTTCGTCCCGGGTCTGCAGGCTGTATCTGCTTCTTCAGGCTCTGTTCAGGACAGTGGTCCTACAGGTGGACCGGGACAGGGCACGGTCAGGTGCTGGCAGCAGAGGGCAGACCCAGGCTATGAGGAGGCCTGACTTCCAGCAACCAGCCATCCAGGGGAGCAGCCGCGACATTCAAACCCCAAGTCCTCAGCCTCCCCCTGCTGGGCAGCTGCACCAAGGTCACCCTCCTGTACCCAGGCTGTGGAGATGCCCTTGGATCCCTTGCATGGGGCTGGTCTTGGGGCGCCCAGGACTATCCCTTTAGTTCTCCTACCTGAGGGTCTTCCAGTTGTCCTTTTCCATGTGGTTCTCAGGACCTTCACTTTCAAAGGAGGCGATGAAGAGTGCTGAGAGACGGGAAGCCCCTCAGAGCCCATGTCCACATTGAGTCAGCCTGCCTGCCGTACCACTTAGCCCTTCTCTAACTCTCTACTGTAGCAGGTGCAGCTAGGCCAAGAAAGAACTCCCGGACCAAGGGAACAGTGGCTTCTGGCCTGGGCTCATCCACAGGTCTGTGCTATGTGAGGTTCCAGCCCACATAGGCCTAGAGCTCCCAGCTACCCACTCAGGGACTTGGAGAAGCTGCCTGGTTCTGCAGCACTGGCCCACCACCATTCTGGCTCTCAAGTGGCCTCTGGAGGCTGGTCTCTCCTTGTCCGTATCCTTCGTCTGTCATCTTCCCACGTCCCAGCCTCATGCACTCACCCCTGTGAGCTGAGCTCCCCTATATAGCATGGGGATGAAAATCAGGCCCGCCCCTAGGGTGACCTGGACACAGGGGGGCTCTGCTGCCTGCAGGGGCAGCCTCACCTTCCTCGCTGTAGATGGGTGCCGTGAGCAGGTAACTCTGAATCTTCTTGTCCTTCTCAAAGGGACACTCCACATGTGTCCATGTCATGAACTCATGGATCTGTCGGGAGATCTCCCAAAATTTCTGAAAGGGCAGAGGACAAACTGGATATTCACTTGTCACCTTAAGCTGGACACCTTTGCTCAAGGGCAGGGGATATGGGTTCTGGTCTCAGTCTGCTGCTCACTTCTCTGGTCCCAGCAAGATGGGACAGTGGCCCTGCACAGCTGGCTTTGTGGCCAAGGAAGCATTCTGTGTAGCGTCCGAGACAGCAGGTGTCCCAGAGGACACACTGCCCTGCCCTCTGCCCGGGCCATTAGGCTGGCGGCAGGGTTGTGCCTCCCCTGCCCAGGGCCAGCACATACCACCAACCAGAACATGTCATGATCACACTCTTTGGGGCTTATGTGAGAATCCATAACTTCCTCCCATCCCTTACCTGTGTGAGGTGAACACTGGCAGCCTAGCTCCCCTACACCTCCCCAGTCACCTTTGTCCTACCCTCCTGTCCTTAGCCAGACAGGTCTTCGCTTCCCACTGGAATTCTGCTGTCTGAGTCCCTCTTGCCTAAAGCCTTCCCGACTCCCAAGCCCCCAGGGTGGCCCCTTCTCTGTCTCCCTGGTGGGGTCAGTGCTGGGACCAGGGTCCTGGGTAAAGGCAGCTTCCCTGTGGCTCCAAGCCCTGTAAGCAGACCATCCACCAGAAGGGCAGGGCCAAACCCACACCTGAAGATCAAGTGTGACCCACCTTGGAGCTCTCAGTGCTAGCGGCCCTTCTGCCACAAGGCCACGGTCTCACTGCTCTCCCGGCACAGATGGATTCTGCCTGCCCTGGGGTGAGGCTGGGAGTCTGTCCCCTGTGCTGGGACAGCTGGCCCTGCCCCTCAGACCACAGTAGGGCTGAGCTCACCTTGAAGTTGATGTGCCCGTTGGGCAGATGGTTGGTGTGGATTTTGTGCAGGAAGTAGATGTCCTTAATGAAAAGGTTGAACACGGGGATGACGATCTTCTCTCGGCTGCTGTTGGCCGTCTGGGACCTCTGTGTGGCCCCCTGCAGGGCGGTGCGGTAGTTGCAGAAATTGCTGGATGGGTCCATGTGGTGCTGTAGGCAGACGGGAGGGAGGTCAAGGCGCGTGGGCCATGCTTCCCCTGCACCCCTCTGCAGAGCGGAGCTGGGAAACAGCTGATGGGAAGGCACTTCCCCTCTGGGTGCTTCGGACTATCTCCAGAAGAGGCCTCCTTTCCGGAGGTGAGCACAGGGCAGGGAAGCCCAGAGATGCCTAGCTGAGCACAGAGCAAGGCCTTCCAAGTTTGGGCCCGAGTGTCATTGGGAAAGCTGCAGAGAAGTCCTGCTGCCCACACACACCTCTTCCCTGCCCTGCCCGAGCCTGGGTCTCCCCTCATCTGAAAACCTCCCTTTGCCCCTCGGCTTAGACCTTCACCTCCCAGACCTGACCAGCTCCACAAGACACACGTTTGCAAAAAATGGATTCTGTGATCAAATCCATCTGGACAAGGCTGCGAGTGACTCACCTATCAGCCCCTGAGCCACCCAGATGACTCAGGACCGCAGAAAGTTGGGCTAGGAAGAGACCTGTCTGCTTAGCATTGTCCAGTGCAGGGCTCATGAGCCCACTTTTGTCAAACTCTTCACTAAATGCTCCCCAGAGCTTTAGGTGATGCCAGCTCTGACTGAAGTTGGGCCCACGAGAGCTCAGGCAACCGCCTCCCCAGGGCGGCCAGGTCCCACGGCTCCCTGGGCCAGCACCAGCCAGCACTGCGGAAAGCAAGTCCTGGGCCAGTGCCAGAGCACGGTGGGAGGCCCACCCTCCTCAAGCCAACACAGGACAAGGCTGGGTGCCTACCTCCAAGACATCGAACTTGGCTGTCTTGACTTTAGACCATGTTTTCTTCAGCCGTGCCACAGGACTGAGGTTCATGCCAGCTGCAAGGGACGGCAGGTAGGGTCAAGGTGGGGGAGGAGGGCCAGGCAGAGGCTTGGTGGGAGGTCCACCCCAGCCACTCACAGATGATGGCCATCATGGAGTTGAAGTTCCCGATGTTGAAGCACTCCCGGGCCACGTCGATGAAGAACTCCAGCATGCGGGTCCGGTGCTTCTTCTTCACCACCTGGAGGGCGCCGGCAGCCCCAGCATGAGCGCCACCGGGGCAGTGTCCCTCCACCACCAGTCCCTGAAGGGTACCTGGTTGGGGTTGCCCCAGAGCCCACAGAGCTGTCAGACCCAGGGTGGGGGGCGCTGGTGGGCTGCAGAGGCAGCAACCACCACTGTGGCCTCTCTGATTCTGGGCAGAAGGCAAGAGGCAGGCAGAGAGGACTGAGGGACCCCAAATGAGTTCATGGGTTGTGCTGGGCACAGGGTGCACACCACAGATAGGTCTGTTGTAATTTAAGGCATCACTGTTGGATGTGGAGGGGTAGTGCACCTCCAAGGCCCCAGCAATGGAGGCTTCCCATCTCCACTTTCAAAGTTTCAACATCTGAGGAGACAGGAACATCTGAGATGGCTCAGGCAGCACCATGGGAAGGGGAGCAGAAGGGGAGCAGACGGCATCACCCTGTGCATGTCCACCATGCAGTGCTTACCCGGCACACCTCGGTGGCCACTAGCATACTGAGGCAGTTGAACCAATTGTCGTAGGCCTCCAGGCTGTAGGTCTTGGTCAGATCCCCTCGGCACTGGGGGAGTGGAGGTGGGGGGAGGGTAAACAGCAGGTCACAGGAAGCCCAAGGACCCTGCCAGTGGGTGCTGCCCAGCCCTACCCCCAGAACCGAGGAGCAGGAGCCTTGGCCAGAGGAAACTGAAAGTGATGTTGGGGTGGGGGCAGGAGAACAGGTCCCCTTTGCTACCCTGGGTCTCCAGGATGCCCAGAGCTAGGCCTGGATGCCAGGCTGGCTGCCCGGTCCCTGGGAATGCTGGGCCCACTGCCCATATGCGTCCCACTGCATGGCCATCTGCTGAGCCCCTGGAACAGGCACCAGGAGGCCAGAACCATATCCATGGGGTCATGAGGTCAGACACAAATTCCAGAGGTACTCAAGGCATGCTGGGTGGGGCCCCCACCCACCCTGCATGGGGTGTGAGTGCCAGGCCCACCCTCAGGCCACAGCCCCTCACCCTGTGCTTGTCCCGAGAGTCCATGTGGCTGATGATCTGCATCAGGTCCTCGGGTTGAATGCTGCTGAGCCTCTCCTGGGGCGGGGTGGAGACACAGCACAGGAGTGAGGAGTAGTGAGCCTGCCATTATTGAGCAGGCCCCACCTGGGGTGCACAGCATATTCAGAGCAGCAGTCAGGACCTGTCTGCAAACGTGCCATGGCCTGCTTGCTCAGCGCACCCAGCCAGGGTGCAGGCCTGCCCAGGCCCCCCTAAGAGTACCCGAAAGGTCTGGAAGGCCCTCCCCTGGATGGGAGGGGACAGGCCTGCAAGAGAATGAGGTGGAAGCCTCAGGGCAGTGGCTGCCACGTGCAGGGCAACGCCCCAGCTCAGGCCACAGACAGGGTGAGACGACAGGGTGGGGGAACTGGCTCTCACCATTGAAGACCTTCACCTCCTCCCAGGCTGGTCTTCCATCCTGGGGCCACCTCAGTCCTCCCCGCCCCAGCCCCTCCCATTAACACAGGACTGCTATGATCCTGGGGACCCAGGCACCGCCCAGGTGGACTCACGCCCGCTGGAGGCCGTGGCCGGCTGGCAGGCTTCATCTGACACACCAGTGTGCCAGGGAGGGAGGCCCCACAGCGCTATGTTGAGAGAGATGCCGGGGGTCCAGTGGCCCCGGGTGAGCATGAGTGAAGCCCAGCCCCACCCTGGGCAGGCTCCCTGCAGCACTGACCAGCTCGATGTGAGTCAGCTGCTGGGCCAGCACCAGAGCATCACAGCACACGCCCAGGATATCCTTCTGAGTGGCTGGCGGCTTGGCCTTGAGGACGGGCCCTTTGTCCACAGCTGGCAGGCGGAGCTTCTCCCGAAGCTCCTGTAGCTGGCCCCGGGCAGCCAGGGATAGCAGCAGGCCCTGCATCATTTGGCCGATGGCCTTCTTCACTGTGCCACTCTCCTGTGGGGGTCAGGGAGCGATGAAGGTGCTGGCACGGGCTGGCCGCAGAACCACCACCTCTCATCTCCGGGGACATGCATGGTTTTGAGCCCACACACCCTACCCAAATCTGCCGTTGAGTACTTGGGCCTGGCAGAGTGGGGTACGTGTGGGCTCTGAAAAGTGCGACTTGACTGCAGGCGGAGTTGGACAGCTGAGCTGCTTCTCAGGGCCATCCCACAGCAAGAGGGGCCCATAACAGGGAGACGCCATCCAGAAGGGCTTCCTCCATGGCCAGGAGCCTTCATTCACTGGTACGGGCAGCACTGGCCCCTCCCAAAGCTCTCCCTGGCTTTCTGAGGGCTCTGGGCAGACAGGAGCTGCTGGGCACATGGAGTACTTCCACCACTGAGGCACAGCCAGGCTCCCAGCCCCACTGAAGACCAACAGCAGGCTGGGAGCCAGGAAAGGCAGACGGGCTCTGACCTCTCTCACTAGGCCCCACTCCACCCACCCAATGCCCAGGAGAGGGTGGGGCCTGGGCTCATTCCACACCCTCAGGGTGAAGTCTGGCCCACTGCTCAAGGTCACCCACATGCACCGGGTGCCAAGGGTGATATGGCCTTTTGCTGGCCAAGGCAAGGGAGAGGGCCAAATGGAGCCACCCAGCAGTCCCCATATGGGGGAGTGTCAGGGAAGGGGACCACATACAGAGCTGCCCCAAAGAGCTCCAGCAGAGTTGAGGGAGGACCTCACCTCATCACACTGTGTGACCCGGTGGGTGATGGCCTTCAGTTCAGCCATGGTCTTCTCGTCCTGGAAGTCATAGGGGAAGGCCTCTGTCCACTCCTTTAGCAGCTGCACAATCTTAGCTGAGAAGGACTTCAGCTTGGCCTGGAGCGGCGGGGCACAGAGTGAGTCCTGACCCACCAGAGTGAGCGACAAGCTGACAAGTGGTACACCAACGCCTATGCCCTGTTGCTGTGATAGAGCAGGGCTGCTGGGCAGGGAAAGCCCCTCAGGCAGTCCACCTTTGGTTCTATCATACCTGCTTTGTTTCATATTCCCAACGTAGGCCCTGAGAAAGAAGATAACCTAGCAAGAAGGAAGCTGGTGGCTAACTGGGCTCAAATTTTTTAAAAACAACCTAGCAGCCTTTACTAAATAGGGACCTCTCATGAAAGCCACGCTTCAGGGAGAAGCCCACACTGATTTGCCTGTCTGCGCTGTGTTCCTGCCAGCTGAGCCAGCCCTTATAAAGGAGCTCCAGGAATAGTATTTCAACCAATAGGACTGACACATTCCTCCTCCAATCACAGCCGTGCAGCTATATTTTCCCTCCCCCGCTCCCCCATTAACATTTTCACCAAACAGAGCGGCTCCATTCCGACCAATCAGGACAGTGCTTTTTGGACAAATCAAACTTCGAGATTTTGGAGTCCTCATTTGCATGAGGACAGACCAGTCAGGGACTAGGGGCAGGACTTCTCTCTCTATAAAGGGAGCACACTGTCCCTTTTCACTGAAGATTAGAGACTGCATTTTCCCCACTGGAGTTGAAACACCTCAGATGTCTCTCGGGAGCAGGCAGAGCAAGTGGAGTGGAGCAGCGCTGTCTAGCAGGAGAGGCTCCTGGCCCCAGGGCTGCCTCATAGCCTGCTGTTTCATAATTGAGCTGTTACTGAGCCGTTTGCACTGAGTAAAGCCTCCTTATTCACCACACCCCAAATTGGGGACTCCTGTTGGCGCTGAATTTGGTGCCAACAACTATCAGTTGACTCCTTAAGTCAGCTCTCTTTTTCACTTAAGCAAATTCATTTTCAAAAAACTTGCCCCATCACTATGATGGCGAAGAAAACTGGTTTTATTTGCTGTAAATAGAAGTTACCCATAAAAAGGAACAGAGTGAAAAAAAAGCAAATTAATTTATGATAAACGAGAGGCTCTTGCCAGCCCTCTCTCTGTTAAAGCAGGCTGGCGAGTCCTGGAAAGGGGCATTGACCCTGGAGCCAGCGGCCTCCTCCCCACTTAGTGTCATTAAAGGTGGTTCTACTGCCCCTGCTGTGGCTGCGGGCCACACACATGCACAGCCCAGGAGGGAGAGGACAGAGTGCTGGAAGCTCAGCCAAGGCACCCCCAAAATGCCCACCTGGACCCAAGCTGCTCCCTCACTTCCCCTCTCACCCCTTCTCACCCAGCCCACTCGCCTGCCCACGCCTGCACAACCTGGACCATCTGCCCACTGGGTGGAGGGATGGCCAGGGGCATGGAGACAGGTGCCACGTGGTCAGCATACCTTTACCTTATCAGACCCAGCCTCCAGCTGCTGTCTCTGCTCCAGGCAGATGTGCCCCACACGGGCCAGCAAGTCATGCGGAGGCATGAGGACCCGGGAGCTCAACAGAAACGTGAAGATGTATGTCCTCTGAAGACAAGAAGGGGAAGAAGAGGAGAGGGGGAGAAGGTGAAGGGTGGGTCAGGCGGTCCCCCAGGTGCGCTCACGGCCCACTGTTCCATTTGGCCCTTCATCTCCCAAACCCAACGTCACCCAGCATCGGCCATGGTTTCTGCGTGGCTCACCTCACCTCAAATGCCTTCCCTCTCATAGCCACCGAAATCCTGCCCACGCTGTAAGGCACAGATCAACCCCATTTCACAGTGGCTTACAGAGGCCTCCCCGATGGTCTCAGCTCCCAGCAGTCTTGCTCTGCTGGGCTTCTCCCCACCCGCCATCCCCTGTGATAGGCACTGACGTAGTCTTGGATGTGTGAGTCTGTTGCACAGCCCATGTCGCCCCCTGGGCCTGGCTCCAAGCCTGCTTGTTCTCCAGATCCTCACTAGCCTGGACCGAGGACCCTGGCCGGTGGGGCAGGACCTGTCCTCCTTGGCCCCAATATCAGCATCAGGGACTGCCAGCCCCTGTGCAGTCACTAACCAGCTGTGGGTTTTGTCCCCACCTGCCACACCAGGGCACCTGTCCCCCATCTGTATGTCCTCATTCCTGGGCTGTGTGGTGCAGGCTCAGAGGGTTCCTCATGATCTGGGCTGAAAGGCAGCAGGGAGCAGCCCTAGCCAAGTTCTGAGAGGATTTATGGGATGAAGGAAGGACAGAAGAGCAGAGAGCCCCAGGAGGGAGGGAGCATCCTGACATGGTGGGGGGCCAGGAACCCCTGAAAGCTGAGTCAACTCCAGCATCATCAGATAAAAGCTGCAGGGTAGTGGGGAGCAATTCCTCCCCCACAGTACTTGGCCCTGTAGGACTCGGAGGCCAGGGAGCCAGGCCTCCCTGGGGTTGGGTGGGCACTGGAAGGGCCAGTGCAGCTTGGCTCTCAGAAGGGAGCAGGCAGGTGCTGCGCCACTCCTGCTGCTGGAGGCAGAAGGAAAGCCACACATGACAGGGAGCGCTCTCTCTGTTCCAAGAATATGCCCACCTCATCTTAAGGTGAAGAGGGAGGGTGTGGATTGTGGGCAACAGCCGGCCCTGCCCGTGCAGGCGTGTGCCCCAGGATCCATGTGCCAGCGGGCACGATCCCTCTTTTTCCTGGACTATGATCATGCACAAAGCAAACATCCCAACTCAGGGACAGGACATGTGCAGGGCAGGCCCTCACCTGGACTCTTCAGACTCTTCTTCCTCCCCCAAGGCCCCACCCAGAACTGAGGCCCCTGATCCAGCCCCTCGTGGGTCACCTTCTTGTGACACCTTCCTGGAGATGGCAGGGGAGTCACTTCCCCTGGCCAGCCCTGTCCCTCCCCCGCGGCCCCAGCCAGCTCTTTCTGGGCTTCCCTCCCGGTCTTAGCAGCAGCCACCCCTGGAGCTCAGGCCGCCCCCTCCAGCAACACCTTTGTCTAGGCCCAGGCACTCACATCAGGGTAATAGTCCACTGTGGGGACCAGGTGCTCCATCAAGGCCTCCAGGGACCCAGAGATGAGGCGTCCATCCTGGAAGATGAGGTCCCCAGAGCTGCTGGCCCCACCTCCTCGCTCCCCCATGCCGGGCTGCACCTGTGCACTACAGCTGGGCCTGAGTATGGTGGAGAAGACAACGGATGTCTGGGGCATAGTTTCCTGTGAGAGAAGAAGGAGGCTATGAAGCTTTAAATATGCCTTCGCCAGGCCCCACTCCTGGCCCTCAGGTGAGCGCCCAGCAGGGTCAGGTGCTGTGTCATTGGACATCAGCTCAGACGGACAAGCAGGCTCCTGAGAGGGCCTGTAGCCACGGATGTCTGACCAATGTTTCTTCAGCACCTGCTCTGTGCAGACCATGCCTCATCCCAGGTGCCAGGACACACAAAGCCCTGCCTCCTGGGGTTATAGCCCACTGGGAGAAAAGAAACTACAGAAAAAAATGACTCTGGGAGGAAAAGCAGAGCACGTGTGTGTGTGTGTGTGTGTGTGTGTGTGTGTGTGTGTGTGTGTGTGATGGGGGGAGCGTGGGGTCAAAGCAGCCTTGGGTAGGTGGCATTGGGACAAACTGATGGCATCAGCTGTGCAGCTCCCTGGGATCAGAAAAAAAAAAAAAAGGAACATTCTGGGCATAAGGGACAGCAGGTGCAAAGGTCCTGAGGCCAGTGTGTGTGGAGGGGATGAGCAGGTTGACTGGCCTGAAGAGTAACGGGTTGGACTGAGCACACTGCAGGGGCCAGGTGCAGCGTGCTGGGCCTCTGAGTGAGACAGGAGGTGTGGGGGCTCTGAGCAGCACAGGGGTAAGCTGACTCGGGGCGAAGGTGCACTTTGGCTGCTGGGTGAAGATCCAGCAAGGGAGGGATCTGAAAACCCTGCTGGTAGGTTGGTGGGTTTAGCCATAACCCAGGGACAGATTACTCGTGTCAAGTGGTAGCAGAGAAGGGGAGCAGGGTCGACTTTGGACACTGTGAAGAATGGTCTCCGGCCTGAGTGACTGACCGGCATGGGGAAAGCATGAGGGTGGGGTCTGAGGAAAGATCTGGAACTTGCTTTTAGACAGGCTGAGTTTGAGACGCTTATTAGTCATAAATGTTGGCAGCAGTCTGGGGGATCTATGCTCCCACGCTGGGCTGCCCACCATGGCCTGGCCAGTGTAATGGGAGCAGAGAGTCCCCAGCTCCACGGCAGCAGAACCTGCTGGAAACGTTCGTGCAGTCCTCTGGGGTTGCAGCCTCACTGCCTGAGGCCACCAGGTGTACCTGGGAGGGGCTATGTAGGGATTTGCTAGCCTGAGACCTCGGAAACTAGTGCTCGGTCCTGCTGGCTGGATTTGGCTGCCCCCTCTGCTCAGCTAATCCTACCCTTGGAGGGCAGGCAGCTGAGGTCAGAGTGGAGGAGCTGAGCCTTCCTGCCATGGTGGGGCCGTGGCCAGGCTGCTCCCTCTCTGGTCACTGGCAAGCAGGTGCCACTGCCCACTACCTGCCTCCCCAGGCAGACATGTGACCCCCCTCACAGGACAGGGCTGCCTCCTCAGGCCTAGGGGGATGGAAAGTGCATACACACTCCTCAGGTCCCGGTGGCCCTCAGTGCTGACCTTGCCATTGATGCCGCAGTCCCCAGCCCCAGCCTGCTCGCTGACCCAACTGGGGCAACCTCTGAGTCATTCTGGCCTCAGTTTCCTCAATGAGCAGAGCAAACTGTAACATGATTATTTTGCTGCCATTAGAAGGCCCCGGGCTGCTGCCATTCCAAGGGGGCATGAGCAGAGCCGACTCCCACCCACAGCACATAAACTGAATCTCCTAGCCAAACACCTACAGGTCACCTTAGAATCCTCTGGAAACCCTTTGCTAGGAGGGCAAGAGCTCAAGTCAAGTCCCCAAGACAAGGCAGGACTGGAATGTCCACGGTCCACGCTCAGTGCTGCCTCACTCAGGATAGGGGCCCAGGCTCACAGAACATGTTAGAATGCACATTCTCGGGCCCCACCATTTCAGGAACTCAGGGCTAGCCCTCAGTTGGAGCTCTAACAAGACACTTAGGCAGAAAACCACTAACTTGAACAAACCCTGCGTTTTCTAGATGGTGAAACAGAAGCTCAGTGGGAAGGAACTCAACTAAGGAAATCCTAGGGTTTCCAAGTCTAGCTCAGGCATCACCACCTCCAGGAAGCCACCCTGGGTTAATCCCTACATTGCTGACTCACAAGGCCAGAAATGGCTGATCATTCAGCTTCACAGCCTCCTCCTTCCCAGCCAGAGCCTGGCCCATGGTGCAGTAACCATTTGTGGAATGAAATAAGGAAGGTGGGCTCCCCAAGCACCTCAGCTGCTCTGCTGTGACATCACTGGCTCCTGAGGGGACCTGAGCCCCAGCACATTGCCTGAGGCCCATGGGCGGTGGGGCAACTTCCTCATCACATAGTTCTGGGTTCAAAGGTGACCCAGAGTGGTATCCTTACTCAGCGGACCTCTTGACCCAAAGCTTCTTCATCAGAGTGGCATTTTCTCAACCACATGCCTCTTCCACTGCGAAGGCTGCTGTGGTCAGCAGATGCTGGGAGAGGAGCTCTTTAACACCCCACTAACTCACACAGCCCTCACCGGATCCCCCCACAGGGCAAGGCTACCCTGGGTCCAGACTTCAGGGAGACCTGCCCCAGTGCTAGGGAGGCCAGAATCCAGCAGGGAGCCACCCTGGAGACTCAGCCCCTCTCTGCTGCCCCTGAAGGCTGGTCAAGCCTACCAGGAGGCCAAGGCACTGAGTTCCAGCCAGGCAGCGGCCCACAGCTACCTCCATGCCCTGCCCTGCACAGCCCGGGAGACTCACCCCTTCAGCATGGGGCAGCGACCCCTCTCCCAACAGCTGGGCCAAGGGCCCCACAATTGGACTCCCCAACTGCACAAAATTCCGTATTTGTCATTTTTAAATGACATCCATGTAAGTGTAATGATGTGTACATATTGCACAGAAAACATGTGGCTACCCATAGCCGCACTAACTACAGTTTACTGTAAGGAAGGAGGGGGAAGGAGACGTTCACTTTCCATTCTAAACATTTGTAAACTATTTAATAGCTTTTCTAACCAGCACATCTATTTTGTCACTTTTTAAATAAAATTTGTTTTTTAGTGCAAAGAGGCTGAGTTTTTAAATCAGCACTTTTATAAAGGCACATTGAAGAGGCTAGAGCCCCAGGGCTGGGTCTGTGGCAGAAGCATAGCCACCATCCAGTAGGTAATCTGCAAGTTAACCCCTGGGGGATGGGCAGAGCCCACAGGGGCCACACACAGAACACACACATACAGTGTGCACACACGCACAGCACACATGCAGAGTGCACACACACAGCATAGACACACAGCACACATGCATATAGTGTGCACAATGCACAGTATAGACACACAGCATACATGCATAGTTATGCACACATGCACAACACACACAAACACAGCACACACACAGTGTGCACACATGCACAGCATAGACACACACAGCACACATGCATAGTGTGCACACACACAGCATATACACACACAGCACACACTCAGAGTGTGTACACACACATAGCATACACACACATAGCACACATGCATACCGTGCACACATGCACAGCATAGACACACACACAGCACACACGCATATAGTGTGCACACATGCACAGCATAGACACACACAGCACACATGCATAGTGTACACACACACAGCACAGTGCACATACACAGTGCACACACAGTTCACACACATATACAGTGTGCACACACAGTGCATACACACACATAGCACATACACATACATAGCTCACACACACACAGTGTGCACATACAGCGTATACACACATACGAAGCAGACAGCACACACATAGCATGCACACACAGCACACACACAACATGCACACACAGCATGCACACACACAGCATACACACACACATGCACACATACACACTCACAGCATGTGCACACACCCACAACATGTGCACAGTGCACACATGCACACCTTCTAGGGAACACACTGCATCAAAGCATCAAGAGCATGTAAGTTGACTAGACTGAGGGCCCCAGAGAAGAGGGAAGCGCAGTGGGGGCAAACAGGGTCTGAGAGACTTCTGTACCTTTCCAGAGAGTAGGGGAGAGATCTTAGGCAGCCCCAGGGCCATGAGAGATCCTGGGAGAGATGGGAAAAGTGAGTTTTAGGAACTTTTTGCAGAAGATTATGAATGCAATTCCCTTTTGCAGTCTTCAAGAGACTTCAGCTAGAGATGTGAGGGCCACTCCCTGCTAGTGCTTTGGATTGTGGCCCCTGCAAACCAGGGTTGTGAAGGGCCCATGACCCTCCATTAGGCAGCAAAAGAGAGAGGAGGGAATGAAGCCAGACACATTCCCTGGGAGGGCAGCCCCCCACACGCACAGATGGACAGCTCTTCTGACCTGGAGCACTGTCCTCCTACTCACAAACTCAGGTTGCACCTAAGATGGCCTTCAAAGACCCTGCACCCCACTGCATCATCCCAGGAGCCCCCTGGTCCCAGGGAGCTGCAGCTGTGACAGAGCCCCAGATCCCTCTGGGCCCGGGCCATCAGCCTCACTACAACAGTCAAAGACCACTAAGAGCACCCAAAGGCACCTGTCACTACATCCTCATTTCTCTGCTCGTGCACTCACACTTGACCTGGGTAAGGGTTACATCCTTTCCAGAGTACTTCTCCTGCTTCCTGCACTGAGGCCCGACAAAGCCCAGAGGAGGCCTAACTGCCCAGTAGTCACAAAAGACTGAAGGTGTCACAGCTGAAGTTGTCATAGACAATACTTAGGTAAGGAATACAAATGATAGCAACTCTAGGAAATTACTGCGGAATCCGTGTGCAGAGTTGGCATGTTCACAGCTGTCTGGGCAGGCTGGCAGCCTCCCTGGGGGACCCCACACCCAGGCTCTGCTCTCACAGCTCTCATCTCCTGCCTCCCACCTGGGAGCAGGACCTGTAGGCATCCAGCTTGCTGCTTCATCCCACATGGGCAGGATGAGGGGTGGGGGTAGCAAAGGATTCAGTGCAGCCAGGTGAGACCAGGGCCTCGTCCTTCAGAAGCCACATGGGAGAGACCATTGCCTGCCTCACTGGTGGGCTCTCCGAGGCCTCTGATGCCCAGCTACCTGCCTCCAACACCAGCTCTGCCCTCCAGGGCAATTCTGGGAGAGGAGAGGCAGGGCCCACTGATCATTCACCCCCTTCCCTGAGGTGTCTGCACATTTCTCAGCACAGAGAGACTAAAGGAGGAGCCCTGGAAGGTGATACCAGTGTTAACTGGTTGGCCTCAAGCACAGCCAACTCTGCCCCAGCTGACAGTGCGGACACCAGCCAGCCCGGGAAGGAGGCAGTCTCCTGCACAGCTGGACAGGAACAGTGTCAGGCCTCCATTTAACTGTGAAGGGGAGGCGCTGTCTGGGGCAGATTCCCAGGGCACAGTCAGAATTTTAGGAGTCCTTCCAGATCCTGGAGTCTGCAATTCTAGAAATTCTGAGAAATGTAAATGCAGGGACAAGCTTTCTTTTGACTAACCCTGTTATGCTTTAAACGTTTATCATCAGGAGTTGAAGCCCAGTATGTGCTGGGCATTACACATCTCATCTCATTCAATGCCATCTCCAACCCAGGGGGCAGCACAGAGATGCCCTTTTCTCAGATGAGGACTGGCATAGGTTGCTCAGGCAGCAGTGGTGACAAGTCTGCCCAGGCCTGCCTGCTGCACAGACAGCCCTGCGCCTTCTTAGGGCTGTCATTTCTTCTCGTCATTGTCCCTGGCCGACGATGACCCACATCAGATAGTCAGAGGCCATCGCCCTGCACACATGGAAAAAAACACGTTCTCAAGCATTCTGCATGATTCCGGATGGAGGGGCTCCCAGAGCTCATCCATGGACAGGAAATTAAGAATCCAGGCTTCCTGGAAAACTGGGACAAAAATGGCCCTCAAGACCCATCCTGAGTACCCAGGAATCTGCCCTGCGGTGGAGGAGGGGTGCCAGCAGCCCAGCCCCTGCCCCTGCCAGGCTTTGCAGAGAGTGCTTCTTTCTGAGACAGCACACACGAAAGCTTCTATTTTCTAACCTACTCGAAAAAAACGGAGACTATTTTTAGCTCAGCAAGCTGCAAGGCATCACAATTAGCCACTGAAATTCCACATCTTACCCATCTGCCTTCTGTTGGCTGGGAGAGAGAAAGTGCTCCTGGAGGGAGTGGGGTGCCAGCCCTGTGCCCCCACCCTGGTGGGCCACTTAACCAAGAGGGCAGACTTTGGCAGAGATTTCAGAATGGGTGCATTTGTAGACATGTCTCGGGTTTTATCCCAGTTTCAGTAAAATCCAGCCTTGGTAGGGAGTAGGGCAGTGGGTACTCAGAGGCTACAAATGGGGAGAGAACTATGCTGGCCAGTCAGACCAGGCCAGTGAGTCGTGAGCCTGGCAATGCCAGGGACCCTGGGGAAGCCAGGACACCTGCTCTGCTCATCTGCAAAATGGACCTCATTGGCCTTCTAAAGGCTCACTGTCTGGTTCTCTTAAGTCAGGTGCACTGGCTGGGGCAGGAGGTTGGGTGCTCCACAGAGTCCTATGCCTCATTCGTTCATTCTTCGTTCATTCATTCACCAGCGTTAACAATAACCTGCCTAGACACTGGAGATCCAACAATGAAGGGCTCTGTCCTGCTAAGCCCCCACAGGAGCAGGCTGTGGCTGGCATGCATGATGACCACACAGAGAAGGCCCTAATATTTTGGGTTAGAATGGCATCAGTGGTCTGGAAGGGGAAGAAGAGATGGAAAAACTGGCCTCCCCAGGAGGTGAGATCTGAGCACACTTGAAAGAGATTTCTGGAAAAGGAGGAGCCCTATGAGCAGAGGGAAGGGCTGGTGCCAAGGCCTTCAGGCCCCAACACCTGACGCTTTCCCTTCCATCTGCTCTAGAAACAGTCTCCCTTGGGCATTTTCTACTTGCTCACTCATTCTAAAGCAAGTATTTCCTAACTATCTGTGTCGGCCCTGCTAAACAAGGACCGGTGCCAGGCCGCCCCTAACCTACCCTAGCCCCTGGAGTCAGGTGACATGGAGTCGCCTCCCCGACACACCCATGGCTCCAGCAGGTGCCCTTCCTGCCCTCCTGGAGCACAGCCAGGCCCAGGCCTGCAGGGGTCTCCAGATGGGCTCCTCGGGGCCAGGACTTGCGGGATGAAGCACCCCCTCCCAGGGGGCTCTCGGGATTTGGCAGGTGACCCCCTCAGAGGGCAACCTGGGGAGAGGAGTTAGTGGAGGGGGCCTCACTTTATGTAGCGGGAAGCTGCAAGTCAAACCCAATATGTAAATGAAATGCTTGTTTAATGCATGGCTGCCACCCCCACCACATCTTCATGATTCCTTGGGCAAATGCAAAGCCTTTCGGTAAACTTTAGGGGATCCTCTGGATCAGTGAGGATTTTGGCCTAGCCTCTTTGGTGCCCCTACCTGGGGGCAGGGGGGGGGACTGTCCTTGCCAGGTGAAGGCCATCAGGATGCTGAAGGTGTCCTCCACTCTCTGGAACCTGTGGCTCTAAATTATAATTAAGAATCTGCCCTCTTGGGGAGGGGAGGAGTAGACAGTGAAGTGTTCAGCAGGTGAGGCACCTCATCTCCTGGCTCTGCCGCCCATCATGGGTGGGAATGGTGAGGGAGAGGCCTGCTGGTTTGGATAGAGGCTCCAAACACACAGGGGACAGATGGCAGTGCATTGTGCCTATATTTTCTGTGCCATGAGGCACCAGCCTCCTCCTTCCTGTCGCACGTGGCAAGAATTAGGCCTCACCCCCGAAGCAGGGCAGGGCAGGTGGCAGAGGCAGCAGTGTCTCCTTGGTCCTCCCATCACCCCACTTAATCTTCCCTCCTCCGATCCTGCTGTTCCCCAACTGGGTTCACAGACCAGAGAATGCAGCAAAAAAAGGTGAGCCAGCAGTGGACAGGTCACGTCACCGTGGCTTCTTAGATCCCACCTGCATTGCAGGGTGCCTAGGGAGGAGGAGAGGTGGGGGTGCACCCCCACCTGTGGGACAGCCCAGGATCGCTAAAGGGAGCAGGCCCCAGACCCTCTGGTTGGAGGGGCTCAGGGATGCCCACCCCAAGCACAGCCCGCTCATGGTTTGGAATCCTCCTTCCTCTCCCCACTTCTCTAATGTCCCTGTTGTCACAGCTCAGTGTCCCTCCCTCCCTCACTCCACACCCCTCCCCTTTCCATTCCAGGGCCTTTCGGTTTTTTGCAGGTAGGACTATGGTTCCCGGCCCTCTCTGCAGGCCTCCAATCCCCACCTGGGGCAGGTGCTGCTCACTCAGTGACCTGCCAGTGGTCGGGCCCTCTGTGTGTCATCTGCAGAGGGCGCAGGTGAGCAACACCTACTGAGTCTTCAAATTCATCTCACTGTCACTTCCAGAGATTCCAGTGAGTGAAGAAGCTCCAGAAAATAGGACCCCGCCAGCCAGACCTTGTATCTGCCCCCGGGGGGCGCCAGGACTGCCTGCCCTCTGATTAGGTGGTTGGGGACCCACTTCCCCCAGTTCTGCTGACCATACATCTCCAGCTCCTCCGCTGCAGGGAGGGAAGTGCCCATACCCAACACCCAAACAAGGGAAGGGAATAAGCAGGCAACTCCCTGCTGGGGGCTGTCCTTCCCCTCCCCAAGTCCCAGCTCTCAAATCGTCCTAACTCTGAGCTGAAATGTGTCTTTCTTAAGCTCTAGAGTGCCCTGGTCCTACCTGCTGGGGGCATACACCACAGATACTTGGGGTCTAGCTGCAAGCATGGGCTGGGGGTCCAGCAGGCTGGGTGAAGGCCTGGCCACATCATAAGCTGAGCGGGTCACAAATGGCAGTGAGCAAGGCAAGAGGCCACCATGCTCAGGACAGGCTCAAAACCTGGTGGTTTGGGTGGCAAAGAACTGCAGACACTCCTGGGCCCTTGTCCTCAAGGTCACCCGCTGCCTTCCCAGATACAGATTATGGGGGCTGCTGCTGCCTCTCTCCCTGATCCCACATCTGTGGTCCTTCTCACCGCCCCACACCCAGCATAGCCAATGTGCCCCTCCCCAGATAGGGAGAAAAGAAACTGCCTCCTGCTTCTAAGCAGGCAGATCCAGGACCTGGCTGCACCACC